TGTGCGTTGCTGAATACCGAATACCGCACAAAAGGGAATAAAACACAAGCAGCGTTGGGTGAGCGACTATCACAATAACAACAAACCAACACTAACGAACCAACAGTGATAGGTGGAGAGAATAATAAATTGTTGGTAGGTTTGTTGTTAGTCGAATGACGCTAGAGCAAACCAACGACAACGAACCAACAGTGATAGGTGGGGAGAAAAGAAATAAATTGTTGGTATGCTTGCTGGTTAGTAAACCGGTTTTGAGTTCTATTGTGTTGTTATTGTTGAGAATTATGACAAATATAAAAAGAAAAATATCTCTCAACAAGGCAGAAGAAGAGGTGAACAATTTAAAAAAGCCAACACAATAGATGTACGCTACAATGGCAGATTATTTCGATGAACACTAACACTTGGTTGGTGAATATTATTTAAACAACCGCATATATTAGGAAAAAATTTATATTTTTTTTTCACATTAATTTAATATTAGGGGACGGAAATAAAATGCCAATAAATTATTTACACTTTCTCGTTAGTATTTAAATTGAGTGGACTGTAAAAGGCTCAATATCAATAAATAGGGTGTAACACAGGCGACCAGTACCGCGAAATATTTAAACAAAAACACTTTTTCACTGCGGTATTTATATTTTTTTTTTATGCTCACAATAAAAACACTGAACTTACGTACCTTGTTTTTGTTGAGTATGGATGAGTAGGTGATGGTGATAAATTCAGTTGATGAAGGTATGAGGGGGGATGCGTTTTGTTGGTGATTCCTTCGTAAAAAGAGAAAAAACTTCAATTAGTTCTCGGTAATTTTCCAAATCCGGCTCGATGCGACCAAATGTTTGTATGGGGGTGTGATGCAAACAAAAAAAAAATGGAAAATAAATGAGAACACAAGGTGATTAGTTTTGTATTAAAAAATAATTGGGAGGTTTATTGAATATTCTTTTCAAAATTACAACAAATAATTTACCTTAGTAAATTGGTGTGGCGTCAGAGGCCTTGGTGTTTTCGCTTTCAAATCTAAACGACAAGTGAACGCTGGGGCTCAGTGCAATCGCAGAGGATCGCGGTGATCGCTGAGGATCGTTGTCGTATATTACTACTACTACACTACTTCCAATGAGAGCAAGAATCTCTCATGTACCAAGGTGAGAAAAACCAACAACAACCACCGCCCGGTGGCATCTGAACTCTGCGGTCTCCGCTGAGGGAACTTGCTGAGTAGATGCCCGTTGTGTCAACCAGCAAACGTGATTGACTGAGCTCGGGAAGTTGAAGGTCAACATATCTAACTTATACAGTCGTAAAGGACCTCTCGGAGCCTGTTTAATACAGAACGAAGATTCAGACAGGGTGACAAGGTTTGTCGTGTGACCTTTTTAACATCCTGCTGGAAAAGGTAATACGAGAGGCAAAGGTGACTAGAAATAGAACTCTGTACACCAAACAACACATGTTACTCGCCTACGCCGATAACATCGACATAATGGGTCGAACACTGAGAGCGGTAGCAGCCACCTTTGAACAAATTGAGAAGAAGTCTGCCAAAGTGAGGCTGACAGTAAATGGCGAGAAGACCAAGCTGATGGTATCAATGCGCAAGACGTCCAGAAGACTCGGACCAACTGTGGAACTTGAAAACTACAGCTTCGAGGTAGTCAAAGATTTTTATATACCTTGGTACCGTCATAACTAAGCCGAATGACATCAGGTTTGAAATTCGGAGAAGGATTGTGATGACCAACAGATGCCACTATGGTCTATGTAAGCAGTTTAGAAACAAGGCCACCTCCCGCCAGACCAAACTCACACTCTACAAGATGCTGATACTACCCGTGCTATTATATGGATCTGAAGCAGGGGTACTTACGCAAGCAGATGAGGCAGCCCCTGGATTGTTTGAGAGAAAAATTCTCCGAAAGATCTTTGGGCCGACCTGCGTTGATGGTGAATATCGCCGTCGAATGAACCGAATGAGTTGTAACAGCTTTTCTCGGACATCGACATTGTTAGACGCATTGAGCTGCAGCGACTACGTTGGCTAGGTCATGTTGTGAGAATGGATGAAGATGCCGCAGCCCAGAAGGCAAATAAAAGCGAACCAGCTGATGGTTCTCGCAGAAGGGGAAGGCCACGAATACGATGTAAAGATCAAGTCGAAGACAATGTTGCCGAAAATGGTCTTTCAAATTGGAAAAACTCCGCAATAGACCGAAGCGCCTTGAAGTCTTTTCTAAGATCGGTTTATGAAACGAAAGTTCTGTCACAAGCCAGGAACGAAATTTCTGTCACCAGCCAGATATGTAAGTAAGTAAACAAGGCGTGGATTTTTTAAAAAAATATTTTTTAGAGTCTAGACAAGGCGTGGATTTTTTAAAAAGATATTTTTTAGAGTCTAGACAAGGCGTGGATTTTTTAAAAAAATATTTTTTAGAGTCTAGACAAGGCGTGGATTTTTTAAAAAAATATTTTTTAGAGTCTAGACAAGGCGTGGATTTTTTAAAAAAATATTTTTTAGAGTCTAGACAAGGCGTGGATTTTTTAAAAAAATATTTTTTAGAGTCTAGACAAGGCGTGGATTTTTTAAAAAAATATTTTTTAGAGTCTAGACAAGGCGTGGATTTTTTAAAAAAATATTTTTTAGAGTCTAGACAAGGCGTGGATTTTTTAAAAAAATATTTTTTAGAGTCTAGACAAGGCGTGGATTTTTTAAAAAAATATTTTTTAGAGTCTAGACAAGGCGTGGATTTTTTAAAAAAATATTTTTTAGAGTCTAGACAAGGCGTGGATTTTTTAAAAAAATATTTTTTAGAGTCTAGACAAGGCGTGGATTTTTTAAAAAAATATTTTTTAGAGTCTAGACAAGGCGTGGATTTTTAAAAAAAATATTTTTTAGAGTCTAGACAAGGCGTGGATTTTTTAAAAAAATATTTTTTAGAGTCTAGACAAGGCGTGGATTTTTTAAAAAAATATTTTTTAGAGTCTAGACAAGGCGTGGATTTTTTAAAAAAATATTTTTTAGAGTCTAGACAAGGCGTGGATTTTTTAAAAAAAAATATTTTTTAGAGTCTAGACAAGGCGTGGATTTTTTAAAAAAAAATATTTTTTAGAGTCTAGACAAGGCGTGGATTTTTTAAAAAAAAATATTTTTTAGAGTCTAGACAAGGCGTGGATTTTTTAAAAAAAAATATTTTTTAGAGTCTAGACAAGGCGTGGATTTTTTAAAAAAAAATATTTTTTAGAGTCTAGACAAGGCGTGGATTTTTTAAAAAAAAATATTTTTTAGAGTCTAGACAAGGCGTGGATTTTTTAAAAAAAAATATTTTTTAGAGTCTAGACAAGGCGTGGATTTTTAAAAAAAAAATATTTTTTAGAGTCTAGACAAGGCGTGGATTTTTTAAAAAAATATTTTTTAGAGTCTAGACAAGGCGTGGATTTTTTTAAAAAATATTTTTTGGGGCTCCTAGCAAGGCGTGGATTTTTTAAAGAATATATTTTTTCAGGAGACCTAGCAAAGGCGTGGATTTTTTAAAAAAAATATTTTCTAGAGTCTAGACAAGGCGTGGATTTTTTAAAAAAAATATTTTTTAGAGTCTAGACAAGGCGTGGATTTTTTAAAAAAATATTTTTTAGAGTCTAGACAAGGCGTGGATTTTTTAAAAAAAATATTTTTCCTGATACCCTTTAAGCATTCCGATTTCCCTCACTAATGCACCTAAACCCCAAAATACGACCACCTGCCATTGTTTGACTTCTGATAAGAATTGTCCTCACATGTTTTTTTTTTGTTTTTGCTGTTGCTGATAATGTTGTTGACATCGCATTCGAGTGACATGGTAGTGGTCGCTTGACACAGTAATCGCACTTCGTCGGCGGGTTTTAGCGCCGCACCGCAAACAGTGACGAATAGAGAGATAGTAAACATAAATTAAGTGAGAACAAAACAAAACCAAGCGAACACAAATTGCGGATCACTTAAACAAATGATTCCAGCGGTAGATAAATTTTCATACAAATGTGGGTCTGACCCGCAACACCGCTCTCTGCCCAACCCCCGGCTATGACCAAGCGTTGAATTAAAAGAAAAAAAATATTTAAATTGAAATCTACGATTGTCAGGTTTTTTTATTTGTTTATCTGTCAGTTTTATGGTCATTATGTTGTTATTGTTGTCGGAGAAAAAAAAAATTATCTAAAATGGGGAAAATTTTCAGTTTGGCCCCCGTAACAAACAAAACCAAACCCCATAATGAAGATCAGTGCAATTGCAACGTTACTGTCGAGTGGAAGTCAATAAGCGGAGCTTAAACAAAATTTTTTTCAAATCGCAAATAAAATCTAACTTCGTTTTGGATCGGAAAACACCCCTACCATCATGCCTAATAAGTGGGAAAATAACGAAGAAATTGAATATTTTCGTGAATACCTGCGGATACCCAGTGTTCATCCGAAACCGGATTATTGTAAGTTTGACAATGTGTGAAACATGGGTGTATCTGTGTGTGGGTGCCCTATAGAGTGTGAGAAAAATTAAAAAATTGGGAGCAATTAAATAATTAAAAGAATGATGTGATAGACAATAGGTGTGTTCGTTAAAAAAAAAAAAAAAAAAAAAACACAAACAAAATCACCCCTTTCAAAAAATATTTTTTAAAAAATCGAAATTTGGCATAGGGTACTGATTTAAGCCTAGAATAATGTGTGCTAAGTTTCGTGAAAATCGGTTCAGATTTAGATATAGCTCCCATATATATTTTCATCCGATTTTATGTCAATGGCCCACCAAAGTCCCTATATATCTTTCGATTTGCTCGAAATTTGACATGGCGTACTGAATTAAGCTTAGAATGATGTGTGCTAAGTTTCGTGAAAATCGGTTCAGATTTAAATATAGCTCCCACATATATATTTTCGTCCGATTTAAGGTAAATGGTGCACCAAAGTCTCTATATACCCTTCGATTTGCATGAAATTTGGCACAGCGTTCTGAATTGAGTCTAGAATAATGTGTGCCAAGTTTCGTGAAGATCGGTTCAGATTTATTTATAGCTCCCATATATATTTTTGTCCGATTTTATGTAAATGGTGCCCCAAAGTCCCTATATATCCTTCGATTTGCACGAAATATAGCATGGCGTACTGAATTAAGCTTAGAATGATGTGTGCTAAGTTTCGTGAAAATCGGTTCAGATTTAGATATACCTCCCATATATATTTTCGTCCGATTTAAGGTAAATGGTGCACCAAAGTCTCTATATACCCTTCGATTTGCATGAAATTTGGCACAGCGTACTGAATTGAGTCTAGAATGATGTGTGCTAAGTTTCGTGAAGATCGGTTCAGATTTAAATATAGCTCCCACATATATTTTCGTCCGATTTAATGTAAATGGTCTACCAAAGTCCCTATATATCATTCGATTTGCACGAAATTAGGCATGGCGTACTGAATTAAGCTTAGAATGATATGTGCTAATTTTCGTGAAGATCGGTTCAGATTTAGATATAGCTCCCATATATATGTTCGTCCGATTTATGGTAACTGATGCACCAAAGTACCTATGTATCTTTATATTTGCACGAAATTTGGTACAGCGTACTGAATTTAGCCTAGAATGATGTGCGCTAATTTTCGTTAAGATCGGTTCAGATTTATATATAGCTCCCATAGATATTTTCGTCCGATTTAAGCTAAATGGTGCACCAAAGTCCCTATATATCCCTCGATTTGCACGAAATTTCGCACAGCGTACTGAATTGAGTCTAGAATGATATGTGCCAAGTTTCGTGAAAATCGGTTCAGATTTAGATATAGCTCCCGTATATATTTTGGTCCGATTTAAAGCAAATAGTGCACCAAAGTCCCTATATATCTTACGATTTGCACGAAATTTGGTATAGCGTAATGAATTAGGTCCAGAATGATGTGTGTCAAGTTTCGTGAAAATCGTTTCAGATTTAGATATAGCTCCCATATATATTTTCGTCCGATTTAAGGCAAATAGTGCAAAAAAGTACGTATATATCTTTCGATATGCACGAAATTTGGCATGGCGTACTCAATAAGGCTTAGAATGATGTGCGCCAAGTTTCGTGAAAATCGGTTCAGATTTAGATATAGCTCCCATATATATTTTCGTCCGATTTAAGGTAAATGGTGCACCAAAGTCCCTATATATGCTTCGATTTGAACGAAACTTGGCAGGGCGCACTGAATATAGCCTAGAATAATATGTGCTAAGTTTCGTGAAAATCGTTTCAGATTTAGATATAGCTCCCATATATATTTTCGTCCGATTTAAGGCAAATAGTGCAAAAAAGTACCTATATATCTTTCGATATGCACGAAATTTGGCATGGCGTACTGAATAAGGCTTAGAATGATGTGCGCTAAGTATCGTGAAGATCGGTTCCGGTTTAGATATAGCTCCCACATATATATTTTCGTCCGATTTAATGTAAATGGTGCACCAAAGTCCCTATATATCCTCCGATTTGCACGAAATTTGACACAGCGTACTGAATTGAGTCTAGAATGATGTGTGTTAAGTTTCGTGAAGATCGGTTCAGATGTAGATATAGCTCCCAAATATATATTTTCATCCGATTTTATCAATGTGGTGAAGGATATCATATAGTCGGCCCAGTCGGACTTTAGTACTTTCCTTACTGGTTTTATTTAATTAATATTTTCTTATACTTATAGCAAAATGTTTGGACTTCTTGAAAAAACAATCGGAAAGCCTTGAGATGCCAATGCGTGTTTTCTACCCCGTGAACAAAGATAATCCAGTGGTAGTTCTCTCTTGGCCTGGCACTGATCCCAGTTTACCAGCAATTTTATTGAACTCCCATATGGATGTGGTTCCGGTCTTCCCTGAGAGTTGGAAACATGCACCCTTTGGTGCCGAAATGGATGAGGAGGGTAGGATTTTTGCTCGTGGCGCCCAAGATATGAAATGTGTGGGTATGCAGTATCTGGGTGCCCTGCGTAAGCTGAAACGGAAGGGTGTGCAGTTCAAGCGCACCATATTGGTGTCCTTTGTGGCGGGTGAGTGAGAGGTGATGGTGGAATTTGAAGGAGAAAAATATTTTTATGGGATTTTATTTTTCAGATGAAGAAATGGGTGGCGGCCTGGGCATGCGTGAATTTGTCAACACCAGCGATTTTAAGTCCCTTAATATTGGCTTCTCCATGGATGAGGGTTTGGCATCGCCCACCGAGGAGTTCCCGGTGTTTTATGCCGAGCGCAGTGTGTGGCGTAAGTATTCAATTTTTAAAAGGGCATTGGTCCGAGTACTACTAAAAGTGGTGCATACTTTTAGGACCCATAAATTATGTTATAAAAATTCCATATTCTATAGTGTCGATTTGTTCTCTTTGTTAAAAAATCCTAAATTTCGGAAATATATTAAAAGTGGTGCCTACTTTTAGGAGTTGCATTACCGGTGGTGCATACTTTTAGGTGCCATTTTTTTAATTTAGATTTTTCCTGATTTTTTATTGAATTTTTTTCTCCTCCCTCCAGGAATTTATTTCAACATCAATGGCCAAGCTGGCCATGGCTCCCTACTGCTGAAGAATACAGTGGGTGAGAAGGCCTCCTATATTCTCCACAAAATGATGTCAATGCGTGAACAACAGGTTCGACGTTTGGAAAATAATCCTGATCTGACAATTGGTGATGTCACCACAATCAATTTGACTCAGGTGCGCGGTGGAGTGCAGAGTAATGTCGTGCCACCAACAATGGTGTTGGGTTTCGATGTACGCCTAGCCTTGGATGTGGATCACAAGGAGTTTGAGGAGCAGGTAGGGGCAGGAAGGAATTTTAAATTTTCATAGAAGAAGGAAACCCGGAGCGGAAATGGAACTACAGTGGTCTAGGTTCCGACTCATTTTATAACTCTAATATATGTCCCTTATTTCCTTCCCTTTCAGCTCCACAAATGGTGTGAGGAGGCTGGTGGTGATATCAACCTGACCTATGATCAAAAAAGACCCAAGGTTCCAGCCACCGCCGTAGATGATTCAAATCCCTATTGGGTGGCCTTTAAGGGGGCTGCAGATGAATTGTAAATTTGCACTAACTTCGATATTTTCATTAGTCAGGTATACTAATTATCTCTTTTGCTTTCAGGGGCCTGAAGCTGAAACCTCAAATTTTTACTGGTGGCACCGATAGCCGTTATATCCGCCAGGTTGGCATTCCGGCCTTGGGTTTCTCACCCATGAATAATACGCCGGTGCTGCTACACGATAATGATGAATATTTGCAGGCCGATATCTATTTGCGTGGCATTGATATATATGAGAAAATTATTGCGAATCTTGCGAACTGTTGATCTGCGGAATTTAGGAAATCGGGAAATGAAACCAAATATTTAAAATAATTTTTTGTGAAAAAATAAACAAAAATTAAAAAATAAATAAATAGATAATAACAAAAAATCTTGGCATATCCCAAGGCGTAGATTTATTAAAAAAATATTTCTCAAGGCAAGGAGCGGATTTATTAAAAAATAATTTTCAAGGCAAGGAGCGGATTTATTAAAACAATAGTTTTGAGCGATAAACCAAGGCGTGGATTTATTAAGAAACAAATGAAAAAGCGTTAAGTTCGGCCGGACCGAACTTTGGATACCCTCCACCATAGTTATACTGACTGAGATACTAGAAATTAAAATATAGGGAGCATACCAAAAAGTGGACCTATACCGACATTTCTACAAACCTAATATGTAAACCACAACACAAGATTTAAAAATTTTCAATGGATAATTACACCCTCAGCCTTATGGCTAATGAGGGTATATACACTTTGACACGGTGAAAATGTGCCGCATCGAAATATTGGTTCTTGACCCCATGTTTCTTTGGACCAAATCCGTTTCAGAAAATTTTGATTTAATCCAAACATTGCCCATCTCATTATTTCTTCCAAAGGTAGTTCAAGTTCGAAGTTGTGGAATATCGGTCCACTCCTTCTGGAACCACCCACACAGGGGCTAGGCCTAAATGCGGGCTATCGTTCACATATAGTTCATTATCGAACCTTACGTTCTAGTTATTTGTCTCGATATTCTCCGCAGGTGAAATGGTTACAAATTAGTCTTAGAACAAATTCCAAAACGCAGAACAAATCAGATAACTATTGAATATTGATACCCTTCACCACTTTGGGTATATTCAACACATGAATCCTAACAGACGTCGCGTGTTTGTTATATATCTCTATCTGAACCGATTTCAGGGAAACTTGCCAGAGACTAATTTATATTACTTCAGTAGCTTAGCAACACCATTCTAGACTTAAATCACTACCCTATACCAAATCACTACCCTTGCAAATCGAAACATATATAGGGTCTTTGATGCAGCAATTACCTTAAATCTGATGAAAATATATATGGGAGTTATATCTAAATCTGAACCGATTTTCACAAAATTTAACACACATCATTCTAGACCTAATTCAGAACGCTGTGCCAAATTTCGTGCAAATCGAAGGATATATAGGGAAATTGGTGCACCATTTACCTAAAATCGGACGAAAATATATATGGGAGCTATATTTCTAAATCTGAACCGATTTTCCTGAAACGTACTACACATCATTCTATACTCAATTCATTACGTTATGCCAAATTTCGTGCAAATCGGAGGATATAATAAGACTTTGGTGCAATATTTACTTAAAATCGGACGAAAATATATATTGGAGCTATATCTAAATCTGAACCGTTTTTACGAAACTTAACACACATCATTCTGGACCTAATTCAGTACTCTGTGCCAATTTTCGTGCAAATCGAATGATATGTAGGGACTTTATTGCACCATTTACCTTAAATCGGACGAAAATATATATGGGAGCTATATCTAAATCTGAACCGATTTTCAGGAAACTTAACACACATCATTCTAGGCCTAATTCATTACGCTGTGCCAAATTTCGTGCAAATCGAAAGATATATAGGGAGTTTGGTGACTCATTTACCTTAAATCGGACGAAACTGTACATAGGAGCTATATGTAAATCTGAACCGATTTTCACAAAATTTAACACACATCTTTCTAGACTTATTCCATTACGCTATGCCAAATTTCGTGCAAATCGAAGGATATATAGAGACTTTGGTACACCATTTACATTAAATCGGACGATAATATATATGAGAGCTATATCTAAATCGGAACCGATTTTCACGAAACTTGGCAGACGTCATTCTAGACTTAATTTAGTATGCTGTGCCAAATTTCGTGCAAATCGAAAGATGTATAGGGTCTTTGGTGTACCAATTACCTTAAATCGGATGAAAATATATATGGGAGCTATATCTAAATCTGAACCGATTTTCACGAAACTTAACACACATCATTTTAGACTTAATTCAGTACGCTGTGCCAAATTTCATGCAAATCGAAAGGTATATAGGGACTTTGGTGCACCATTTACATAAAATCGGAAAACACTATATATGGAAGCTATATCTAAATCTTAACCGATTTTCACGAAACTTAACACACATCACTCTAGGCTCAATTCAGTTCGCTATGTCAAATTTCGTGCAAATCGAAGAATATAAAGTAACTTTTGTGCACTATTCCCCTAAAATCGGACGAAAATATATATGGAAGCTATATCTAAATCTGAACCGATTTTCACGAAACTTAGCACACGTCATTCTAGGCTTTATTTCCATACGCTATGCCAAAATTCGTGCAAATAAAATGATTTTCAGGGACTTTGGTGCACCATTTACCTAAAATCTGCCGATACTATATATGGGATCTATATCTAAATCTGAACCGATTTTCACGAAACTTAGCACACATCACTCTAGACTCAATTCAGTACCCTATGCCACATTTCCTGCAAATCGAAAGATATATAGGGACTTTAGTGGACTATTTACTAAAAATCGGCGAAACTATATATGGGAGCTATATCTAAATCTGAACCGATTTTCACGAAACTTAGCACACATCATTCCGGACCTAATTCAGTACGTTGTGCCAAATTTCGTGCAAATCGAATGATATATAGGGACTTTGGTGGACCATTTACCTGAAATCGGACAAAAATATATATGGGAGCTATATCTAAATCTGAACCGATTTTCACGAAACATAGCACATATCATTCTAGTGTTAATTCAGTACGCTGTGCCAAATTTCGATGAAATCGGAGAAGATATATGGATATTTTGGTGCACCATTTACATTAAATCGGACGAAAATAAATATGGGAGCTATATCTAAATCTGAACCGATTTTTCCCAATTTCAATAGAGTTCGTCCTTGGGCCAAATAAGTGACCTGTGCCAAATATCATCCAATTCGGATCATAAATTCGACCTGTACGTTGTTTACAATTTAACATCTACAGACGGACGGATGGACATGCATAAATCGACTCAGAAAGTAATATTAGGCATATTCTCAAAAGGAACCATGGGTCTATCTCGATTATTTTTGCCTGTTACAAACATATGCACAAAGACATAATACCCTGTACCACAGTGTGGTGAAGGGTATAAAAAGGGGGTTATTTGGGGACTACCACAAAAAGGGGGGCAAATATTAATTATTTTTGGTGGGGGATTTGTTACCATATACGACTACAAAATACCAAATTGCAGCGAATTCGGTTGAAAAACGCGCTCAAGAACTTCAAAATACCGAAAATTGGGGTTACACTTATATGGGGGCTATTCGAAAAAATTGACCTATATTCACAATTTTTTGTGGAGAGATTTGGTACCTATTAAGAACTCAAAATACTAAATTACAGCCAATTCGGTGGAAAAATACGATCAAAACTCCCAAATCCCGGAAAATTAGGAGGTACCGTTATATTGGGGCTACCAGAAAAAGTGGACCTCTACATATAATTTTTTGTGGATACATTTAGTACCCAATAAAAACCCAATGTACCAAATTTCAGCGCATTCGGTTGAAAAACGCGTTCAAGAACCCCAAAATACCGAAAATTTGGATGTACTTTTATATGGGGGCTATCCGAAAAAATTGACCTTTAGTCATAATTTTTGGCGTAGAGTACCTATTAAGAACTCAAAATACTAAATTACAGCCAATTCGGTGGAAAATACGATCAAAACTCCCCAAAATACTGAAAATTAGGACCGTTATATGGGGACTACCAGAAAAAGTGGACCCATATAATTAATTTTTTGTGGAGACATTTGGTACCCAATAGGACCCGATGTACTAAATTTCAGCGTATTCAGTTGAAAAACGCGCTCAAGAACCGCAAAATACCGAAAAATGGGGTGTACCGTTATATGGGAGTTATGCCTAAACGTGGACCGATTAATCCCATTTTCGAGCTTGACCTGCCTGCAGACAAAAGACAACCCTATGCAAAATTTCAGCACCCTATCTGCTGAAAACATTTTTTTGTTTTTGTTTTTTTCTTTTGGTTTTGAAAAAACATTTTTATAAAAATTGTGATATTTTTTATAAAAATTTTGAAAAAATATTTTGTATAAAAATTTTGAAAAAATATTCTTATACAAATTTTGAAAAAATATTTTTATACAAATTTTGAAAAAATATTTTTATACAAATTTTTTAACGTTTTATTGAAAATATTTTTTTTTGCAAATTTTTTATTTATTTTATTTTATTATTTATTTTTATAAAAATTGTTATATTTTTTATAAAAATTTTGAAAAAATATTTTGTATAAAAATTTTGAAAAAATATTTTCAATAAAAGTTTTGAAAAAATATTTTTATACAAATTTTTTAACGTTTTATTGAAAATATTTTTTTTGAAAATTGTTTTTTTTTTAATATTTTTTTTTTTTGCAAATTTTTTATTTATTATAAAAATATGTTTATACATCGTGGATTTATTAAAAATACTTTTAATTTTTTTTAGTAAAAAATATTTTTCATTCATTTCAATTTGTTGTATTTTTTTTATAAAAATAAAATAAAATTTTATATTCTTTAAACATTGTTTTCTCAATGCGTTGATTTATTGAAGAAATGTTTATAAGCAATAAAATTTTTTATTAAAAAAAATTTTAATTAAAAAAAATAATATTTTTATAAAAAATATTTTTTTATTTGTTTTAAAAATAGTTTCCATTTTTTTATAATTTTCCTTCATTTTTTTATTAAAACATTCTCAGGTCTTTTTTAAAAAAAATCTCAATTTTTTCCTGAATACCCCTAATATTTTTTGTTTTTCTGCCAAAAAAATAGTTTAGCACTTCAATTTCCTTCCTTCCTAACAACTATGACGGAATCTACCTCTCCCGTTCGATGAACAATTTTTTTGTTTACAAGCAAAACCAGTGCATCATCGTCGGTCTACCTACCTGCCGACTCTGTTTACTTCCCACCCACTTTCTGAACTCATTAGCCCCCTCTCTCTCCCTCTCACTTTTAGTAATGCAAACGATTCGATGTGAATTTTGAGGAAACACAAAAAATGTGAGTCAGGCTTAAAATCACGAAATTCGACAACAAGCCATACTAGTCGCTAAACAACTGGGAGCAAGTTAAGATGTTAGCGTCAATTCCGTCAATCAGTCTGTTGGGAAGTGTCGTGCTAGTGAGTCAAATTATAATGAGTTCAGGTAAGACGCAAAAAAGAAATTTGATTTTGAAACACAAGAAAAAATGAAAATGGAAAAAATATATTTTCAGGTACAGGTCAAAATGGCTGGGGTAATACCGGCGCCAGTTCCTGGTCATCGTCAAGTTCAAGTGGCCTGCCAGGCCAACCTCCACAAAATGATTTTAGCTACAGTTATGGTGGTGTAGATGCCAATGGGGTACCTTATGGTGGTTATGGCGGTAATGGTGGCTTCCACATCAATGTAAATGATGCGCAGGGTCGCAGCCACACCTATAGTGGTGGTAATCCCACAGGTTTCCCAGGAGCTCCCGGCTTTACAGGCGTACCACCTGGTGCTCCACAACCTGGGCAGCCAGGTTATCCGGGGCCTTTTAGTTATTCAACCACGAATACCCAATATGGTATGGGACCAGATGGACGGCCATATGCAAACTCTTCCTCATCATCCTCAGCTTGGTCTTCTGCATCGGCCTGGAGTACTTTCTATGTTATTGCCTTGTTTTCTTTGTATGCTATGATGAAGTTTTAAAAACAAATTATTATGTGATTATTATTTTTGGTTATTGTTGTTGTGATAAATAAATGTAAAAATAAAAAACAAAACATTTTCGAATTAGTTTGAAATGATTTTGAACCAAGTTTTGAGTTGTGTCATGTTTACCGCAAATTAAATTTAAATAAAGCAAAAAAAATATACATTAAGGTGGATGACGATATAGATTAATGGGCACAACATTTTCGAAAAATAAAAGCTACACAAAAAACTTTTTTTGAAAAATAAAATTCAATTTTTTTTCCTTTGAAAAAATATTTATTTTTTGAAATATATTAAAAAAATTGTTTTGAAATAAAAAAATATTTTAAATTTTTTGGAATGTTTCGGAAAATAAAAGCAAAACAAAAAACTTTTTTTTTGAAAAAAATTCAAACTTTTTTCTTTAAAAAAAAATATTTATTTTTTGAAATATATTAAAATATTTGTTTTGAAATAAAAAATATTTTAAATTTATTTGAAATTAAAGTATTTTGCAAAAAAAAAAAAAAAAACAAAATACAAATGGAATTCCCAAATTAAAAAAAAATATTTTGAAAAAACTCAAAAAAAAAAAATTTTTTTTTTGAAAAATTTTAAAAAAAAATATTTTGAAAAAAATTAAAAAAAAATATTTTGAAAAAAATGTTAAAAAAAATATTTTGAAAAAAAAATTAAAAAAAAATATTTTGAAAAAAATTAAAAAAAATATTTTGAAAAAAAAAAATTAAAAAAATATATTGAAAAAATTTTAAAAAATTTTTTTAAAAGGTTTTTACAAAAAAAAAAAAATTAAACTTTCGACTTTGAAAAAAACATTTTTTTAATAAATCTATGCCTTGGGCTATGCAAGGAAAAATATTTTTTAATAAATCCACTGTGGTACAGGCAGGTATTATGTCTTTGTGCATATGTTTGTAACAGGCGAAAGGAATCGAGATAGACCCATTGTTCCTTTTGAGAATACGCAGAGAATCATTTTTTAAGTCGATTTATGCATGTCCGTCCGTCTGTCCATGTTAAATTGTAAACAAAGTACAGGTCGCATTTATGATCCCAATTGGATGAAATTTGGCAAAGTTCATTTGTTTGGCCCAAGGACGAACCCTATTGAAATTGGGAAAAAGCGGTCCAGATTTAGATATAGCTCCCATATATATTTTCGTCCGATTTAATGTATATGTTGTACCAAAGTCCCTATATATCTTTCGATTTGCACGAAATTTGGCATAGCGTAATGAAATAGTTCTGAAATGATCTATGTTAAGTTTCATGAAAATCGGTTCAGATTTAGATATAGCTGCCATATATATTTTCGTCCGATTTCATCTATATGGTGTACCAAAGACCTTATATATCTATCAATTTGCACGAAATTTGGCACAGCGTACCGAATTAGGTCTAGAATGATGTGTGTTAAGTTTCCTGAAAATCGGTCCAGATTTAGACATAGTTCCCATATATATTTTCGTCCGATTTCATCTATATGGTGTACTAAAGTCCCTATATATCATTCGATTTGCACGAATTTTGGCACAGCGTACTGAATTAGGTCTAGAATGATGTGTGTTAAGTTTTCTGAAAATCGGTTCAGATTTAGATGTAGGTCCCATATATATTTTCGTCCGATTTAAGGCAAATGGTGTACCAAAGTCCCTAAATATCTTTCGATTTGCACGAAATTTGGCGTAGCTTAATGAATTAGTTCTAGAATGAAGTGTGTTAAGTTTCATGAAAATCGGTTCAGATTTAGATATAGCTGCCATATATATTTTCGTCCGATTTCATCTATATGGTGTACCAAAGACCTTATATATCTATCAATTTGCACGAAATTTGGCACAGCGTACCGAATTAGGTCTAGAATGATGTGTGTTAAGTTTCCTGCAAATCGGTCCAGATTTAGACATAGTTCCCATATATATTTTCGTCCGATTTCATCTATATGGTGTACTAAAGTCCCTATATATCTTTCGATTTGAACGAAATTTGGCACGGCGTAATGAATTAGTTCTAGAATGATGTGTGTTAAGTTTCCAGGAAATCGGTCCCGATTTAGATATAGCTCCCATATATATTTTCGTCCGATTTAATGTATATGGTGTACCAAAGTCCAAAGTCCCTGTTGAATATACCCAAAGTGGTGAAGGGTATCATATAGTCGGCCCCGTCCGACTTTACTGCTTTCCTTACTGGTTTTTTAATAAATCGACGCCTTGAAAAATATTTTTAATAAATCCACGACTTGGGAAATTTATTTTCATGAATACCCCTAATATTTACCAAAATGTATTTCACATTCTGAATCACATGCCTGTGAAATTGAAAGGGGAGTAAGCCATGTTTTTTTTTTGTATTTTGATTTACAATTCCGATCTACCTTTATTTAAACTTAAAGTTCTAGATCCCGACATAGTTACTCATCACGTTTGAAATTGCTTTAATTTTTTTTGTTTATTTTAATTTCAAATCTCGATAGCCGAATAGAAATACAAACAATAAAATTAATTGCTTTGTAAATGTGAGTGACGTGATACGTCACTAACTCGTTGTTAGTTTAGGTTTTTAGCGGCTATTACGTTGTGTTTTCAATTTTTATTGTGAGAATATACACCAAAAATTATGTTAATTTAATGGTTGGTTGGCGTTCAAATGCCAAGTAGCGTAAGTCAACTTTGATGATTTTTTTTTCTGAAGAAAAAAATGTTTATAGACACAATACAGCTCAGCTGCTCAGGTATACAATAAAATTAAAAAAAATTACTTATGTCATTTTGCTTTTTACCACAACATTTTCTCAAATGAAACTATTAATCGCTAATATCACACGTGTATATGTGTGTATATGTGTATATTTAGTCCAATGCGTTTTGGCATGGCAGAACTCCATTATTATACTGCGAACCATTACGGGATGACGTGACATTGTAAACATTTTTGAAACATAACAAAAAATACCGGAAATATTATTTTTTCGAATTTACCTTAGACGAGGATTTTTTAAAAAATATTTTTTCGAATTTACCTTAGGCGTGGATTTATTAAAAATTATTTTTGCCCATCTACAATAGGCGTGGATTTCTTAAAAATTATTTTTGCCCATCTACAATAGGCGTGGATTTCTTAAAAATTATTTTTGCCCATCTACAGTAGGTGTGGATTTCTTAAAAATTATTTTTGCCCATCTACAATAGGCGTGGATTTCTTAATAATTATTTTTGTCCATCTACAATACGCGTGGATTTCGTAAAAATTATTTTTGCCCATCTACAATAGGCGTGGATTTCTTAAAAATTATTTTTGCCCATCTACAATAGGCTTGGATTTCTTAAAAATTATTTTTGCCCATCTACAATAGGCGTGGATTTCTTAAAAATTTATATTTGCCCATCTACAATAGGCGTGGATTTCTTAAAAATTATTTTTGCCCATCTACAATAGTAATATATTAAAAAAAAATTAAAAATTGCTTGGATTTCTTAAAAATTATTTTTGCCCATCTACAATAGGCGTGGATTTCTTAAAAATTTATATTTGCCCATCTACAATAGGCGTGGATTTCTTAAAAATTATTTTTGCACATCTACAATAGGCGTGGATTTCTTAAAAATTATTTTTGCCCATCTACAATAGGCGTGGATTACTTAAAAATTATTTTTGCCCATCTACAATACGCGTGGATTTCTTAAAAATTATTTTTGCCCATCTACAATAGACGTGGATTTCTTAAAAATTATTAATTTATTATCTATATAAATAGTAAATCATAGCGACCTTATGATTTCCAAATTTCATAGAAATCCGTTTACGTGTTCTCGAATTACAGCCGATTTTAATATGTGACCCATGGTGCGTATAAGTATTATTAATTATTAAGTACATTCAATAAATTGCAATTTTCATCAAAACCAGAAATGATATTTGAAAATGAAAAACGGGAAATTATAGCCTACAAGTCAATCAACAATTCCCTAACACATAAAAATATGAAAACATTCCAAACGGCTGAAATATTGGGACTTGAAATTGAATTTTTGAAATCATATTTTTCTAAGTCGTTGATTTTTTAATGATTTAAAAACCTTAACTCAATTGTTTCGCAAATATTTATTCCATAGTTTTTATTTAGGCTTGGGGAGTTCTTTTTCCGAAGAAAATTTCATCTATCCTTGAGCGTTAACCGGTTCCGCGGATTCCTGGGCCTGTGGTCCACCAAATCCCCTGAACCACTGGCCAATCCATTCCCAATCAAAGCCACCATAATTATGATCACTGGAGCTAGACGAGCTGCCACCACCGCCACCACCTCCATTGTTGTCACTCCAGCCATAGCCATAACTATTGTCACCATGATGCTCATAGTGATAGCCACCATCGGGACCGGAGTCACCGCCCGAGCCATCTTCACAGAGGACAGCTGAAAGGAAGGAATTATATTTGTTATATTTCCTATGTATTTCAAAAAAATGGAGACCACTACTTACCCTCAAACATTAGGGCCACCACTAGGGTAACAAATAGAATTGTAAACTTCTGCTTCATATCGCCAGTTGGGAGACAAGTAAACTGATGTTTGATGAGCTGTTGTGGGACCATATTTATATATGCACATATCGACAGTTGGAGGATCCCAACTTAGACATAACATTTGTAAATATTTCATTAATTTATTGTCTGAGGTTATAAAATCGTCTTGACAGTTGGGACTCTCAGAACACCTGTAAAAATATATATGGATGTAGCTTGAATACCTCAATGTGATCAGAAAAATTCTAAGAATAGTTTCAATTACTAATAAAAAAACGCAAGGCAAATTGCAAAAAAATAACATAGCATACTTTAAGGCGACCTATTAAAAATTCCACGCCTTGTAGTAGCAGCCAAGAATAATTTTAAAAAATCCAAGCCTTGTGGTAGCAGCCAAAATTTTTTTTTAAATATCCATCTTGTGATAGCTCTCTTGTGGTAGCTCCCAAAAATATAGGTACTTTGGTGCA